TTTAAATTCCATGAACACAGATCTTCGCTACAAGGAGACATCGAAATCTATGGAACAACATCAAGCCTCTGGCTAGAGAACAATCTAAGGTGGGGCCATGGGCGCGTAAGTGTGGCGTAAGTCATGGGCAGTCAGGTGTATCACGAAAACCGGAATGAGAGCCTCTAGCCAAGGTAACAGATAAACGTTACCGAGGCAACCAAGTCTACGACATGAAGGATAAAACTCGGCGAGAAATTGTATGTTGTCCCTGCAGGGTGCGCGAGCTAGGGCACCCCTGACGTTAGCGCATCCACATGGTGGGGCTATCTAATACCTACCTTAATCAAAAAGGTGAAGCATTGAACGTAGCTTCACCCAGCGATGAGTCAACGCGATGATGGAGTCTTCCATAAATAAACTCACTATTTGGGGGGGAGCGCCAGGCGAATAAGTACACTCGAGCTATGCCCTCGTAATACGTTGTGAATGACTTCAGTGTATTGCGTAGTTATGGTTATTCAGGTCACAACTATAGACCTCAAAATGAGCAGACTCATAGCTCATCTGATTTCTCGATACATAGAGATCTGTTTCGTTTGACAGCCGTCGGCGAACTTATACTGTGATTCATGATCCGACCCATCAAAGGCAAAGGTGTTTGCATCAACCACCATCCGCCGCCGCTAGGAGGGTGGCATACGCTCGCGCACTAGGGATTCTTACGTTCGTTCCTTAACACTTGTATGTACTGATTTGGCTCTATCGGGTACCATATTTCTAGCTCATGCACAAACTAGAAAGAGTTAGTCTACAAAGTGTTTTTGTCTGGTCGATGGCCATTTATAAGAGCCCAAGTATTAGAACCTGGATGAGTAAAATTTTGAGTAATGTTCTTATGACGTCCATTTTACCAATTCTCCAGTGGCGTATGTGCATAGGATGCCTTACTGTGTTTGGACAAAAGTACTGACCGGCATTGTTGTTGAATAACATAAGTACGCTGGTTATGAGGTCCCATCTAACCGCCGCATATGGGCCGTTGTAACTCGCATTATTAGCACTCCACTAGGTCACTGTGAGGTTGTCGTAGACGCGCTCTAAAAGGGTGGCTATGTCATGGGTGGCTTGAGTACGTGTCATCGCCGCAGAGATTAACATCGATCACGGCTGCGGTTCGTAGTTAGGAGGACGTGCAGCGCCTACCAACCTGCATTTAGAGACCTGAGTCCGAGGTCAATCGTACCCAACCGACGGCCGCGATGACAACATTGTTATCGCGACCTTCGAGTCTTAGTATGAATGGCGGATTTATAAATACCCTCCGGTCAGATAAATTAGGCCAGACCTTTGTCACGTACATTGTCTACGGAGTCTAGTTGATACTACTTGCGCAAACAATGCCCGAAATTTCGGTACATCTTGCCCTTAGACACGGTTGGCGTAGGTTTGGGCACTTGCGATAATTGCCTAGTGAATCGCGTTGCACGAACGGACGGTGCTCTGGCAAGGCGCACAGTGTGGTAGGTCAATGCATATCTGACTCCAAGCTTAATGCCATAGTGTCGAATTAATCTTGAGAGTAGCTTATATAGGCTGGCCCGTTCATTTCTATTAGTGGTCGGATACTTGAACGGCTACCTTGTAATCCTTCTCTAATATTTATGAAGAGTTAACCGAATGTTAGCACTCCTGTCTTCTACTTCTAGCGAACTGGTGATTATGCCCGCGCTGGCCCAAAAGAAGGTACTGGGCACAATTGGGTTACCGCATCAGCTGAGCCCGTAAACCTGCGAAAACCAGGATGGTGTGCAAACTGACATGGGCCGGACTCGGTAAGTCCCCCCACTAGTGTACCTGCATGGCTAACTCCCAACGGGCGCCTCTGTGTCACCATGGAACATTCGGTTAATAACAGTTCTATGAACGCGAGGACAGGGGCAGCTTCATTAACGACGAGACCATTAACTCATTAATTTTATCCAACCATCGATGGAGCCAACCTCTGGCGAGAGCCTGAACAACGGTCGACTGCCTTTACCCGACGTGAGGAGAGATGAACCAGTTCGAAGCACATTACCATTCATATGCTTCCGACATGTAGTTATGGATCCGCTCGTCTGGGCTCCGACGGCTCCAATTTTCGCCACTGATCACAGTAGGGGTTGCACGGCCACGGCGTGCGATGGAGACCTAGTAGGCTTCGTTGCCTGCATTTATTTATCGTACCAATGCCAGAGACCAATACATTCTTTAACCCAAGGGGGCGCAAGCGAAGGAGCGAGTCATTAAAGGCATTCAGTACCTTTTATCGAGCTGGCTTCGACAAGCTAGGACCCACACACATTTTTTGAGCCACCGCGATCATTGCGCGGGACAACCTTCAGTTTCTGCAAATATCGCTTTGTGCGATAATTACTGTTATGCGATTGGCTAGAAGTAGCTTATAGCCGAGGCGAAGGTCAGATAGTACTGTTATGAACGAAAACGAGTTACGGTCCCTCGGACGTTCCGCTCACGATATGTTTGGGAAAGGTGTCAATTCACAGGCGTATTGCGCATAAAAAGGCAATCTAACCCAGTGATGCCGGGCTAGTATTATGTATAGCAGCGTTCTGCGGGCTACCGACATAGAGGGGAGCGCTTCTGACGCGTTGTACTAATTCGGGTGAGTTAAAGAGGTTTCAAAAGGACTCCCCCAAGAGCTGTGAGTGTGGGTGTATGGGGGCTACTGCTTCCTCCTCATTTGCAAGGACAGAAACGGACTACTGGAGCCGTCAAACATTCGCGGAGGGCCACGTTATCTTTCATGCTATAAACAAACCGGATAAGAATCTCTAACCTGCAATTAGCGTACAGTCTTTACTCGGACCCTGAGCCTCACTACAACCATTCTTAACGGTCTTTAGGGCGGAATTAATAACACAGTTTCAAGTCAAACCAGCTCAAAAGGGGTGACAAAAGCTAAATAGGTCCTACTAACGTCTCACATCGCTGGTAGACAACTTATTCCCCCTAGGTGAACATAAGTGAGGTGGACTCCGCGGCTGACACATGGGTAGATTAATTTCCACAGCCAGAACGCGGGATAGCGTGATACCACGAAAACTCCATGGGAGCAAAAACAAAGATGGGGCCGTTAGCCCAGATCAATTCAATTGGCCTCTGAACTGGACAGTTAGGCCGTAGGGAGTAACTTAGTGCCGCAGGGGTACACCTACACTTGATTTATGGTTGCTCGACGACATAGCCCCACTGTCGTTCGGCTCCAGGCCTGCCAGCCAACCGCACTTTTAGAAGTTACCCGGGGGTAGGTGTCGCCATGTCTGAGGTGTTCGCTCGTGGCTCGTGATCAGAGTTATCATCGGCGGCACATCCGGTGACTCATCTAAATACCGCAATACCACGGATTATCTGAGAGCTTTACTCGAGCTCTTCTAAGACAAAGCGCGTTCCCCAATATCAGACTGAACGGGATGTTGAAGTCCGAGGCTCGCTGATAGATCGCGACCGAGTATAAAGCAACTACATTCCCTGCGCGGCAAGTGAGAAGTATATTCCGCATCGTAATGCCCACATATATCCATGTAAACCTTCAGAGCCCATTGTTGGTACTTATGGTGAAGGAACGTCACGTAGTAAGACGGACCGGGATTAAAGTTCAATGTAAAGCGGCCGGAGGCCTTGCCGCAAGTGGGTCACACGGACTTCGGCCCACGTATGCTCACCTAGCCAGGGCCCGGACCAGTCTCAAAATAAACCTACAATGAGACAGTGAGCACGTGTCTGGTCTATCGTCAGAAGAGACTTTACCCAGTGAGGTTTCCTTCGTGTAAGACGAAAACAAGGACGGGAATGTGTATCCGCGATGATAGTTCGTCGCCATCTGTTAATGCTGCCAACAGACACGCAGAGCTGCGAACTGGGTTTGAATTGTTTTATATATATATTCCCCTCAAGCAAAATATAATCATGTTCAGCGGCCGAACTAGACTTGAAATGTATATCAATCATTGTCTGCTTATCCAATTCCCTTATTCATTGTCAGCATTGGGTCTTCGATGTCGATTTCCAGTCTACTTTTTTTACAACTCAGGTTTACTGCGCAAGTGCGGTTTTAGTATAAACACTCACCAAACGTCTGTGTTTTCCTTTACAATGAAACGCAAATTCAATAAATGATTATTTATTAACCCGTTGATTCAACTTAAAATGCATGTAAGTGTTTAGCTGTAATATTCTGCCAACAGATGGCATTTCGTACTCGGTGCTGCAAATTGTTCAGCAGAGGATTTGTAACCGCAAGCGGCAAGCCAATACCACAAATGGAAGTTATCATAACTGCAGTGCTCTCGCGTGACTGCACCTAAAAGCATTATCTGCATTAGACCGCCCAATAATGTCTGTCCCCAATTGATTTACGAGAATTGGTTGGGCGGACCCTGTCTACAGGTTGAAATTAACTTTTCCATCAATCTCCCATCCTCCGTCTTCTCCTTATGCTGAATTGTCTGTTGTCATCGAGCAACAAAAATCGTGATACTGCATTTGGCAGGGTTGCACACAAGCGCAAATGACAAAAAATAACTAAACACATTTGACAATAATGCTTCCCTAAAAGAGGAAACATCATGCAATAGGATACGTTGTAGGCAATGGCCATTCTGTCCGCATTGAATTTCAGTTGCGTTGAGTCTATGTTATTGATATTGGTGTATTATGTCGTTGTGATTATTTGACTGGCTGGCTCAGAGGTAGAATAGAGTGCATGGCGGCTGTGAGCTCAATTCCTGGCTGGGGTTTGTGGGGGGGGGGGGGGTAGACGTAGTCTTATCTCTTTGTGGTGGCTAAAATATGTACCAATTTGCATGAAAGTCAACTCCATTTCCCTTATGGAAAAACTCAACCCCACCAAAGGAACGTGACATTTCCACCAATGGCTGAAGCCTCTAAACAGGAGATTTGTGACACACCCATACTCAGTTTCAATCACTGGCATTGTTGTTGTTGTTAATGTAGCAATTATTTGTTTTGTGTTGCAGCTGCGAGTGATTAAACTGGCCAAGTCCTGGGGCACCATGTACTCGCTGCTTAAGATAATCGGGAACTCGGTGGGAGCCCTTGCCAACCTGACGATCATCCTCGTGGTCATCATTTTCATCTTCGCAGTGGTGGGCATGCAGCTCTTTAAAAATAGCTACGCCAAAGAAAATTGGAGCTTGCTGCCCGATGATATGTTGCCGCTGCGTTGGCACATGTGCGATTTCTTACACTCCTTCATGATCGTCTTCCGCATCCTGTGCGGAGAATGGATTGAGAACATGTGGATATGCATGCAGCTGGACGGAAAGCCTCGCTGCATCATCATCTTCATGGCGGTGCTCATCATTGGCAACCTGGTGGTGAGCGAGCAGACCCCTGTGCCCCGACCGACGTGTTCGTGGCCTAAAAAGGGAAAATATGTAATAGGTGACGTTTCAGACCATGGTCCTTCCATGTAACGTACTCAGCCTTTTGCCCGGATTGCCGTGGAAAATTAGCTTTTTGGCTTAGATGGGCCTTACCATAAATCAACTGACTGACATAGCTTGTCAATGTGCTATGAATAAGTGCCATTGCCTAAAACATCAACCTCTATGCATTTTTTCTTTTTAGGCCACAGTGTTATTGCGAAATGTGTTGATTTTTTGTTGTTGTGATTTGTGCTTGTGCACCACTGCAAATGCAGCAGCATCCCCAAAAACGTCACATGTACGTGCTGCTGTGTTAACTACAGTAGTTGTGGAATAATTCACTCATTTAGAACCAACACCTCTGCCACCCGACCCTGGTGAGTCGATGAACGAATTCTATTATTGGTGTGGCAATATAGTTGAGGAGTTTGTGTAGTTTCGCTCTTCCTCCTCTTTTTAAGGATCACAGACCACGGTGGTTTACCACGTGGTCCATAGTTTGGGTTGCATGGCCACAATTACACTACTGTGATTTATCTTTAATTTTCCATTCATGAAGGAGACGTGGTGCACAGCTAACTGCTGGTGTTCTGATGCGCTTAATGGTCACAGCATCGTCAAAGAGGAGGAATGTCAAAGCCAGGAGGTGCGATGATGTTTGGATCTCGAATGAGGCGTTTAGGTTGCACGGGTCCACTCTGTTCGCCAGCATTCTTCTCGATCTGGGAGAGATTCCAGGATGGTGACAGCAGCACGATCCAGAAGGTGGACCGGGACTTGAGTTGGCAGCGAGGGACACTGTTGAGGTCTTGGTTGATGATGGGTCGCGTGGTTATCGTTAGCAATGAAACGTGTCAACTCCCTTGCGGTTTGCACGATGTCTCCACGGGTATTTGGTGGCAGAATAGTAGTCAGTACCGAGAGCCAGGGGGATTGGTATCTGTATCAGTGTTCTGGTTATGGTGCGCATCGCGTTATTTCATTGTGGGCGTACCAGTTTTGTGTACGAGTTCCCGGACCACGCTTGAGCACAGTGACCCCTGCCACTGAGGAGACCAGTGAGAGGACGGCATGCTCGCAGCACATCAGCTGTGAGGCTCCCCAGGTCGCTTCTGCGAGGCCGACTGACGAACTGTAGCAGTTTCTGCAGCAACGCTATTGTTTATTTGGTCTTTTCACAAATCGCCGGGCTTGAAGGTTTGGCTTCCATCCATTATAATCCCTAGATATATTGGAGTGGGGTCACAGCGTACTGTGCTACCACAGAAGGACACATCAAGGGTGGCATCTGTTGCATGATTGTCCAAGTGGAAAGTGCTTGTGGTCGTTTTTTTAAGGATTTTGTTGGAGTCTCCCGTGGCGGAAATATGCCTCCATGAAAATGACATCGACTCTTAGAATATTGGTAATGTCCTCGAGATTTGTGCACTTTGCAGCAAGGGCTATGTCATCTGGATGTATGAACTTGCGACATGACGTACACGCCAGGTCACGTATATACATGTTTAATAGTGACAGTGATAGTACCGAACCAATTTTGTAATAATCTTTTGGCTGTGTTTACCAGCAAGATGTACCCTGACAGTACGTTGGCTGATGAGGTATACAGTAGAATGGCATCTCGTGATTTTGACCAATTTCAAAAGCAAGCCATGACGCCAATCAGTGCCATAGGCAGCAGAGAGATCAATCATTGCTGTGCCAGTTTTCTGTTGACGCTTGAAATCAGCTTCTATGATGAGGTGGTGAAGGCAACTAGCTGGGCCATTCTCATCTTCGATCGGTATATTTGTTCCGAGTATTATGCCTGTGACGCATTTGTAACTGTAAGCTGTGCTGTGCTGATATAAAAGCTACTATCATTAGTCATAGTCAATCCACTACAGGATGTAGGCCACTCCAATGCGTCACCATCTCTCACGGTCCTGTGATGCAACAAGGACAGTTATATAACAATAATGCCCAAGGTGTTTTTTTTCCCATTCAAGCGTAAACGTGCGCTTGCCATTGGTTCCACTTTTCTCTTCAAATGTACTTATTGTTAAGTAATTTTTCGTTTCATTCCTTTCAGGTGCTCAACCTCTTCCTGGCCCTGTTGTTGAGCTCCTTCAGCGCGGATAAGTTCGCGGCATCGGAGGATGAGCCCGATGCATCCAACATGCACCTGGCCATCGACCGCATCCGGAGGGCGGCGGCCTTCACGAGGGCCACGCTCACCGCCTTCTTCTGCAAGTTGGCCAAGACGACGAGGGAGGACGCCGGCGGCCCGGACAGCGTCGCCAACGGGTGCAGGGCGGGCGCCTGCGCGACGCCAGTACGGGGCGTGGGTCAGCCCTGCGCGGTGGCGGTGGCCCGACGCTCGTGCATGCGCCCGGCTCATGGCAGCGGTGGCGGCAACTGCAGAGTGCGCTGCTCAGCCGAGCACGTGACGCTCGCCATGCCCGAGACGGAGCACGAGATGATTGAGGTACGGCTATCTTCTTGTTTTCTTGGTTCTTTCGGTAAAGTCACGTAGAAGGCAAGTAATAAAATAATAAAAATAAAACATAATAAAATAAAATAATTATTTTTTTATTACTTCCCTTCTACGTGACTTTACCGAAAGAACCAAGAAGATGAATCCCTGCAGTCACGAAAGCTTTAAATCGAAATTTATCTTCTTGTTCTTCTGTAAGAAAGTTCCGCGAACAGCAGCACGAGTTCGGCAAAAAGCTCGGCTCATTGCCCCACCCAGGTGGGGGCCACGAGCGGGGGATATGAAAGCTTATATGGGGAGGGGAAAAGGGTAAGGCGAAAGATGACTAACATACTGGGAAAATTAAAGGGACAGGGGAAAGGAGGGTAAGGGAGGAACCGGGTGTGGGCTGGGAGAATGTTTTGTCTTCTTGTGATCCTTCCAGTTCTTCGTACAGTTTTCGGAATCTTCTTTTTTGCTTCTTCTGACACTTATTCATGTTCTTATTTCTGTACTACTCACGTCAATGATCCAGCACATTTGGCGTTTGTGATCAAAACAGCAGCCTGCGGATAGTTCCACGGTCGGTGGTTTGCTACGTGTGTCAACCCCAGTTGCTACGTGTGTTAACCCCAGTTGAGTAATTTGTGCTGCAATTTTCAAAATTTCGCAAATATGGACAGTGACGTCAGTGCACGACGGCCGACTCATTTTCGAATAACATCACGGGATCGTCATTGTCCACTGGGAAGCAGATGGCACGTATTATTTATTTAATACACACAGTAATAACCAGTGCGACCTGCCAGACCAAACCGCAGGTCTCTGAAACAAGTGACGAATGTGCTACCAGTGACCCGTGTCACCACCCTAAATAAGATCCCATCGCGGTGGCGAGATGTTAACTGCCTCACCTGGTATGCAGGAAGCCGTGGGTTAGATCCCAACCTTGACGCCTGCATATTAGGAGTTTGCATGTTCTCCCCGTGGTCGCTTGGATTTTTCTCTGGGTCCTCCGGTTTTCCTCTCCACATTTAGAATCAACGTCATGCGTTTAGAGTATTTGGCTGCCATACATTTCCACACGATAAGCCACTTCGGTTAGCTATCATTTGTGGCCATTGTCACTTCTGAAAAAAAAGCTATACAGTTTAGTGGGCGTTACCTGGTAAAATAAAAACTAGTTTATAGTTTAGTTTAATTACTACTTCATCGCCTTCTTTCAGTTCTTCTTCCTGATCTTGGTTTGCATCTTCCTCTACTACTGCATGGATTTATGTTCTTCTCTTCTTCCTGCTCATCTGCTTTTTCCTTTTCTGTACATTTTCCTTTGCTTCCTCCTGTTGCTGTTAGAGCGTGAAGAAATAATATATGTTGTTTACCCTTGGAAAACACTTCCACCATCATCAGCATATTATCTTTCATAGGGAGGGCCATAATAACCGTACAATATGTGTCTTATCCATACGTGCAGATTCAGGAGTGTAAGTATGATTGCGAAGAGCCTGACTTTGCGGACTGTGCAAGGAATCATGAGAAAGTTGAGAAGGAGCCATCCGAACAGCAGCAGCAGCAAGAGAAGGAAAAGGACAGACTGGATGATTGCTTCCCACAGTGTAAGAATCATGATTCCCTTGTGTCTGGTGGACACCTGAAGTGGTGGAATGACAGCAGTAGCAACTTTCCAACTGCAGCGATGTAAGCGGCAGGCTTGCCGATGTTTAGGACGGCCGCGGTGGCGAGATGTTAACTACCTCGCATGTTCTCCCCGTGGTCGCGTGGATTTTTCTCCGGGTCCTCTGGTTGATTTCCTCCACGTTAAGATGGTTGCTATACATTTTTATGTGATAAGCCACTTTATTGGGCTATCATTTGTGGCCAGGTTTCATAGCTCAGTGGGCCTTACCTGGTAAAATAAAATAGTTTATAGTTAAATCAAATAAAAACTTTTTTTATAGTTTATTATCCCCTTCTAATGCTTATTGATTTTCAAAGCCAATCAACCTGCGATAGAAATATCTTGAGAAAGGAAAATAAGATGTAATCGGTTTATGATGAAAAGAGTTTAAAACTTGGCAGCCTACCATTAAAATAGGTAGGGTTGGCAAAATTGCAGTATTTCCTCAACAAGCCTGCCTCTTCTGATGATACCCAGAAGGTTGAAACCATTCCACAGTTTGCTTGCTTAAATAAATGATGCTGTGTAAGTGCAGGAGGCCAATAAGGCAAACCATTTTATTATTAAAGTATAAAAGATGAATGGAAATCGATTATATGTATTATTACCCGTAAATGCTCCTCAAGAGCTGTTAAATTCGTTTTTTATGGATATAATACAAAGCAAAGATATAATGCAAAGCATTACATATACAAGTGGTTTTGGTGGGAGGTGGTTTGGTGGCTTGAGGGTCAGAGCACTGAGGTGGTATCGCTGAGGTCCTGGGTTTGAATCCAGGCAGCCACCCATGATTAAGACCAGATTCTCAAGTGCGGAGGGCTAAGGTCAAAACTGAAGACTGCGCCAATTTCTTTTTTGAAACCACCGTAATTTTTAGGGTTTCTCACTAATTAGGCAAAATTTCAACTTGAAACCTGAATTAGAACCCAGGATCTAAGTGTCCTGAACTCTCAGTCACCTCCCTCCTTTTTGTACGTGAGTGAGTTTTTGCCACGGCACTGTTCTGCTCAGGGTGCGTAGCTCGTTCTCCCTGCTGTGCCTCTGGCGAAGCGAGTGAAGTGGGCATGTTCTGGTCCACCCTACGCAAGGCCTGCTTCATCATCGTGGAGCATAACTGGTTTGAGACGTTCATCATCTTCATGATCCTGCTAAGCAGCGGCGTCTTGGTGAGTACCCGTGCCAGTTGGAAGCACACTTCAAGATTCATGCCAATTGACGTTCATGCCAGTACCAATCCTTTTGGCTGGTCTCTCGCCCTGCTTGTGTTTAATTAGGTGGCTTGTGGTATTTGGAAGATGAGAAGCTGTTTGAAGAGTACAACATTTGTGGTCTGACTTGTGCAGCTATTTTGGCTATGATTTTGACACTTTTGGCAGAGCCTTTATCTCCTGGTGATTACGCAGGCCTTTTTGTGGAAAGGGTTAAATAACATTTTACATAAATTAGGCCGTATCTTCCTTCGTAGGTGTTCGTTAACAACACTTGCCAGAACAGTCTGTTGAAGGCTATATGCGAGATATTTGTGTATGTGTGTGTGCGTGACCTCGATCATCTCGGTCAGTCGACCCGTGGCACCTGGGTCTGCCCCGTGACCTCCTGCCAGCGGGCGTTCGACACTTCACGTGGCCTCAAGGTGCACTTGGCCTGGCACAAGCGTCGTGGTGACGTCACCGCCACTTAGTGGCGAATGGCGGTTGTTGTTGTTGTTGTTGTTGTGACCTGTGTAGGCGTTTGAAGATGTCTACATCGCTAAGAGGAAGACGATACAGATAGTGCTCGAATATGCCGACAAGGTGTTCACCTACGTGTTCATCCTGGAGATGCTGCTCAAGTGGCTGGCGTACGGATTGCAGAAATACTTCACCAACATGTGGTGCTGGCTCGACTTCTTAATCGTAGGGGTACGTGCTTGCTGCTATCCCCACCAGCCCCCAACCCCTCCCACCCCCCCTCCTAGCACTGTATTGTTTATCTTCTTGCTGCTCACCAGCTTTTTTCAATTGCTGTATTTCTTAAATAAAGTGGTGCAGTTGGTCACGTGCTGCTCGAATAAACTCAGCCACCTGAGTTTGATTTTGAGCCGCGGCTAACGTCAGTGACGACCAATCACTGGACCCCCCACCCTGCATCCTACCGTTCACCAGCCTTTCTCTGGCCAGCGTGGTAAAGTAAAGTCAAACAAACCCCCCTGGAAAAATATGCCTTCATCCAGTAATGGACTGATAAAGGTCTGTACAATTTAAACGTTTGCAACGGACGGATACAAATGTACGTGTCCTTTAAAATACATGGAATAAGAGCATCCAGGATGCACACAATGAGGTTTTAAGTCAAAACAAGTTGTCAATTTAATTAAAATACAGAAGGTTTACACTCGGCCATGCTCCTGTTACACTACATCAATGAAAAGCGTATCCCACCTGAGGACGATTGCTTGTGTGGCGTTCGAAACGTCGTGATCTATTATTTTTTCTACCTACGTGACTTTACCGAAAAAAACCAAAGAGTACGTATTCTGAATGCACACTTGTTTCGGGATGTTGCACAGAGAGCACGCGGCACTATCAAGGTGAGATTCTGTTTCATGTGCACGGCGACACGTTCAGGGCTAGACGCCAATGCCGAGGTCCGCTCGCGGCGAGACGGCTTCAGGAGAGAGTTTGCGTCGCTTTGTTTTTTCTCCTCCGTTGAAGGAGGGTACACGATGCCTAAATTACAGCCCAGGGTGCCAGGATGGAAACAATTCCACGATGGAATTTGATAACTTACACGATTTATCGGCATAAAAGCAAGACATTTTCACGAAAATAAGTTGACATCATTCTGCTACTACCCCAATGGCAACCCAGTGACTGATGCGGCGAGCTGAAACGAGAAAATTGAACCTTAATTTTGGAGCTTTCGTGACTGCAGGAATTATTCTTTGGTACGTGACTTTACCGAAAGAACCAAAGAAGAAAATTGAACGTTGCGAAATCAGTCAGTTCACCTGTGTGTAAATTGAATTGTGTTATGGAACAGTAATTCTTCTCTTGATTTCCTTTGGATTTGCATGGAGTTCTTTCAAACACTAAGTACGTATATGGCTATGTGAACGTGCTTGCCAATTTCCTTAAATGATTACAGTACTTATTTACCCAAGAAATCCACACCGAATACAAATATTCTTAAGACGGTACAGCATTGGGGGATGTTTGTCCAACACCAATTACATCGATGCTTTAGCTATGGGAGGAAACAAGAGAAGCCAGAGGAAACCCATGCAGGACAAGGGGAGAACATACAAACTTTACACAGAAAGGTACCCAAGTCAGGATTCGAACGCAGATCCTTCTTGCTGTAAAGCCACCACTGTGCCAGTATGCCACCTTGAAGGCACAGTGGAAGTAAGTGAAAATATGCAGGAAGCATTTACCGGACATGTACATCCCATGACCTAATTAATGTTTTTCTCTGCAGCGGAGCGGATTTTTGCGGACAATTAATGCCCGTGCAATTGTTGTGGCAGCCATAAAATCGGGGCACTCTGAAATCGACCCTTCGGTGATGTTCGTTCGCGGCTGAACACGCTTTCCCGTCGTGCGCAGGTGTCCGTAACATCGCTCGTTGCCACGTTGCTCAAGTACGATGAGCTCAGTGCCATCAAAGCTCTGAGGACCGTCCGGGCTCTCAGACCACTCAGAGCCTTATCAAGATTTGAGGGCATGAGGGTATGCTGTGTGCACACAAACGTCAGATTTGCATCACTGGATAGCGTATTTTTTTTCTTTATGTATTAAAGTCCCTTAAAATGTTTTTTTTTACATACTGTGTACAAATGATGCTTATCGTCCAAAAGTGAGCGGCTACATTTTACCTGGGTTAGTACTGACAGTTCCCTGATGAATTCATGCCACGTGCTGCTGGAGATGCAGAAAATGGTGCTGTAGCTAAACCAGGTGGTACTAATTACATACTCGTGCCAAAATCATCCAAATCTTCATTTGACCTAATAAACAATTTTAACGGTGTTTAAAGTAATGTATCATAGCCACCATTTGTTACAGGAAAATAATATTGATGCTTTGTATGGTAGTTTTTTTATTTCTATTTTGTTGATTTTGCATTCGAATTGTTTCGATTCATTGTTGTAACTTTTTTTTTGCTTTTGGTGAGCTTGTGTCTTGAGTTCTCACCCGGGTTAATACAGAAAACATTTTAGCTTGACATTTTTACGCCAACAAATAACAGCTCAGGGGTGAAATTTGCTATGAAATTTCCCGTTAATATTTACATTCGAAGCCATTCGCAAAAAAAAATCATCGCCCAAGTTCATACCGCCGACCGAAAAGAGTGCGGTACGCTCCACAATTAACACCCGCACCTGCGCCGCTGTTTGACGCATTCTGCCGTGGCAGGCCCAGGTGTGGATGGCGGGGTTTATTGTGCAGAGAAAAGTTAACCATTTCCCTGGAGGGGTTAGAGAGCGGGAGAGAATGGAGCCTTCTCACCTGCCACCTGCCACTCAGCTTGCTCCTCTTCCCTCCTGGCGTTGCCGCTGGGCGCGCGCGCGAATTTAGGTCGTGGTGAACGCGCTGATCGGGGCATTCCCGTCTATCGTCAACGTCCTCCTCGTGTGCCTCATCTTCTGGCTCATCTTCAGCATCATGGGCGTCGACCTCTTCAAGGGGAAATTCTACAAGTGCGTCAACAAGACCGACATGAAGATCTGTAGCAGCTCGGTCGTCAGAAACAAGAATGAATGCGACGTGAATGCCTCGCAGGATTGGGTTAACATGCCCGTTAATTTCGACAACGTGGCCACGGGGTACCTGGCCTTGCTGCAAGTTGTAAGTTCATGCATTATGCACAAAATGTGTTTCTTCATTCATGTATATATATGATCACTTTTTCTATTCGTGCATGTCTTGTTCAGCATTTACACAACAATTGGAAAAGCAGACCCTGAGGTGTGCCGCGCTGTTTCTGGAACGTTCCAGCATTTGGTCGTTCCTTATCCAAATGCTTCAAGAGCTCTGCCCTTCCCTCCCTTTGCAGCTGGAAGGAAGTGATCGCACTGTTTGTTTGTTTTTAAACAAAACAAGGGGTTAACGTATTCTCGTGGTTAAGTTGTGCTACCCTCGGCAAATATTTATATGTTTAAACAGCACTGGAGCTCAAATTGACCTCGGATAAATGACGCTGCTCACGCGCCTCCCTTTCTAATTGACGCCCATGAGGCAGCGCGGCTGTTGTGGCGAGTGTGGCGTGGGCGAATGTGTGCGGTGCCCCCCCCATGTAGCTCACTTTGAAGCTGGCTTGCACCACTCAGTGTGGGCCGGCTTGTATTGGCGGCAGAGGTCGCAACCGGGTACCCGATACGGCCGGGTACGGGTACGGGTACCCGTTTGCGACCCTGGTGCGGCCGGATACGGGTACGGGTTTGCCGTGAGTCACCGGTGAGTAACCGTTTGTCACTCATTTCGGGGGTAGGGTACGGGTAGCGTACGGGTACCCGTACCTGGCCGGGTACGGGTACGGGTACCCGTTTGCGACCCTGGTGCGGTCGAGTACGGGTACGGGTAAGGAATCAAAACCCGTTTGCGACCTCTGATTGGCGGCTCGCTTTTAAGAGGTCGTGGGCACGTGGCACACGTCACCCCGTGACAATGTGTGCGTTCTCAATGTCCAATTTAATGCAGCAGTGGTTTGCGCAATGCCCTATGGCCAGGTGACGGTAGAGTTCGATTTCTGAGCTATGGCAAGGCCAGAGAATGGAGTGGACAAGAGATGGAAAATACACTTTACACTCTTGGGGCTTGGCAGTTGCATTCGCCTGCTCTTACTCCCTCTCTCTCTCTCTCTGGACTCTCTTTAAGTAATTTGAAAGACTTTTGCCGCAAATGTCACCAAATTACATGTCTTTTTTTACATTTAAGGCAGTTATTGAAAAAAAAATGTTATTTGTGCTTGTGCACGACTGCCAATGCAGTACAATCACCAAAGCATGTGTTTACAATGGGAGGCATGATTGCTCGTTTATGCCCAGCTATAGCAAAGCGATGGGTGAGGGGAGTCATAGGGTGCATTTGCATGTGGGTGAGGAGTGTTTGCACGTGGGTGAGGAGTGTTTGCATGTGGGTGAGGAGTGTTTGCACGTGGGTGAGGAGTGTTTGCACCTGGGTGAGGAGTGTTTGCACGTGGGTGAGGAGTGTTTGCTGTGGAAAGCGTGCATTTTCTATAGTTTACTTCGCGTCTGTTAATGTGTCTGCCTCATGGTGGGGGTTGGAGATGGTCAAATCGACGTGCAATGTTCTTGCATTGGCGGGTTAGCATAGGTCGGGGCTGAAACGCATGCAACTTAAACATCTCTGTGATAATGTCCTCACCCACAGTCATGCCTAGGGTTCGATAGCACATGTACGCACTCCCCTCTCCATCGCTCTACACTAAATCATAGCCCTAACATCCACTGCAGTTGTTTACTCAAGTCTCGCTCTGCCGGTGGTATGGAAATCAAGTACATTTTCTGAGATAATGCGGAACATTAGATGCTACTCGCATTTTTCAAATCTGCCTACACGTAGAAAAAGGGTCCCGTGAAATTGCACGACTTACAGTACGGAAAAAAAGAGATCGCCTCATTTTTCATCCTTTAAAATATTAATTCTCTTTTTGATACAATTCCCCAACCTTCTGAGGATATTGACAGCAGCGCTGACAGAAGAGAAATGCCCCCACCTGCGGTGGCGTGGGAGCGACTGATCAACTTACCGTGCGTGCGAGTGTTTCTTTCTGTGTTTGCTCTTGCATCCGTAGGCTACTTTCAAGGGGTGGATAGACATCATGTCTGCTGCAGTTGATGCCACCAAGAAGATAAGTCATTTTTTTATACAATTATTGTGTCTGTTGTGAATAAAATAGCTTTTGACCCCAATGTTTGCACCTGAAACGGCCTCTCTGACCAGTCGTGATACACTTTGGTTCACTACAGAGCCACTTACCAATCACTGGATGATGCTTATATGCACATTTGTTAATTTCAGGGCTTCATTTCACCGGGTCTGCCCATGTCAGGGACCTGGAAAATGTTTCCTTACCCGGCACACGACGTTTGGTAGAGCTGGCGTTATGGCTGTGCTTCCTCGTCACGTTCCTTCCAATCTCTAATAGCAACCTGAGAAAATATTTCATAAGATATTAAAGGCCATGTTCTTCTTGGTTCTTTCGGTAAAGTCACGGAGAATTGAAATAATAAAATAATAAAATAAAACATAATAAAATATTATTTTTATTATTTTATTATTTAAATTCTACGTGACTTTACCGAAAGAACCAAGAAGATGAATCCCTGCAGTCACGAAAGCTTTAAATCGAAATTTAAAGGCCATGTTGATACGCATGCATTGCAATTCTCATGGAGATACTTAACAGCCCTTGACGATGTGAACGTTTTTTACGCGTAGTTCAGTATTTGAACTTTATGGCGGGACCCCGGGGTCCCGAATAAACGGAAGTCAAAATCTTCATTAAATTATTTACTTTTGGCGACTCCGTCCCACCGCGCACATAAACGCCGCGACCCACCTGGCGCGGATCATTCTGTTGTCATGTCGTGTCCATGCGCAGCAGCGAGGACGAATGCGCAGAAGAGCTGAATAAGTGAATGCACTCAGTGTTCGGTTATGTGCAGGATCATAAGTCTTATCCAAAGCCGCTCAAACTGCCTATTTGTCATCACGGGATGCATAATACAGTGAAACTGCTCTCTTATCTTCATTATTATTTGAGACCTACCAATGTCTGCAGCCAGGATCAATCGATGACAATCCTATTACCTGCAGATGTTTAACAGATGAGATGTGTTGCACCGTTAATTCCTCCTGTTTGATAATACTTCTCTCGTCCGTATGCATCTGTGCAGATAGGTTTTTTTTTTGCGGTTAAGCCCTAGTCCCCGAATACCGCTCGTATGAATGCGGATAAGAGGAGCGATGACCCACGACTCTGTAGAGTAACATTGGTATAAACGCTTGTTACAATATGAACAGCGCATTGAAAACGCGCACTATTTCACGTACTGTTTACAAAGTGTGTTCACAAATCCACATTGAGAAACACGATGATTGTAAATTATGTTTTTCGATAGTGTATTTAAATAGAGCTACTGCAGGTAAGTAGTTTTCAGTTTTAAAGTCATAGTTTAACAAGACAACACTTGCCACCATCCTTCAAACCCCTTGTTGAAAAAGAGCAAATTCTGTGTTTGCATTATAATATGTTTATGCGAGAGCCGGGGCTTATGGGAACCCCGGGGTCCCGCCATAAGGTTCATTTATATGTTCGTTAATATGTGGTAACTGGCAGTGCAGCATTTTATAACCTTGATCTCAATGTCTCGTTTCGCACAGTACGATGAACAGCCTAAGTTTGAGGAAAACAAATACAGTTACGGTTTCTTTGTTTTCTTCATTACTTTTGGAGCATTTTTCATCCTCAACCTTTTCATTGGTGTCATCATTGATAACTTCAACCAGCAAAAGAAAAAGATAGGTATCTTGCATCTTGTTTTCTTCCACAAACATCAACATTCACATTTCCATATGTTGAACATTAATGTTTTGCTTTGCGTGGATGCTAGACTCACCAGACATGTGGTCGATTTGGGGATTTTTATGGTTACTGGAAATATTTAACGACCGCTGAATTCCATGAATTATAAGTAATGTGAAAAGCTGCATTGACGACTCCAAGCATTAAATCCACTATTAATTCAGAACATTACATATAATACATGTTTGTTATTTAAAACCCGCCATATTACATTCACACTTTCAGTTTTAAGTGGACCAATTTACAACCGTATTTACATAATGACACAGTATTCTTTATTTTATTTTCACAAGTCATTAGTTCATATTTCTGTTATGTTATTTATTAGACTAAAATCACAGTAGGCAGATTCACATGTTTGTCAATTACAGTGAGAGGAGAGTTAAATGTTAAACATGAATGCCATATATGTTGATGCATTACATAGGAGGGGAAGATATATTCTTGACAGAAGAACAAAGGAAATTCCACAGTGCAATGAAGAAACTCCGCTCAAAGAAACCACAAAAGCCTGTGCCTAGGCCGCATGTAAGTACCAGTCTCCAGGGCCTTGGATCTCACTCTTTAACCCAGTGAAACGGTTGGTGGGCTTCTCATTAGCACGCACAAGCTTTTGGTGAATGTTATTATTGTGCATTTCTCTGAAAAGGGGGTGTTTGGGTCCCAGTTTCAATCTCACAGTCGAAGAGGCATATATTGGTTCAAATCCCTATGGGCTACACATCTAATAGGTCCTCACCTGAGACAAATACAACTGTTCTTGAGTAGTTTGCGATGTTCAAATGTAAAAAAAATATTCTGTTCATTTACAGTTATTGCTTGTTGCTGCCTTCCCGTGCCAGGTGTGTGCTATCGGTGTGTGCTATCGGTGTGTGCTATCGGTGTGTGCTTGCACAGTTTAAGAGCACTCTGGTTGCCTGGTGAAGTGACAGATTAACTGAGACACCAGGAGGATCACTTGTGTCTTAGCCCATTGTATCTTCTCTGACATGCGATTTGCACTCTGCTCCTGAGGAAAGTTAATGGTTCTCCATAAACTGTTACATTTCAATGAGAAAAAAAAACTTCAGAACAATGCAAATAAAAACAAACTGCTCCCACAAATGTTCCAGTTATTTACTTTGATAGGTGTAAGAAGCTGTCGAATGATTTTATCGTCATGAGTAATTTTCAAATAGTTCTCGGAGACTGGGCAGGGCTGGCCAAGTAATTATTGGCTGCGAAGGTCTGCTACCTTTCATTAGTAGGCGCCAACGCTAAATTTGAGGCTCATTTACGGTAACATTCCAGTATTGCGAAAGCTATTGAATGCAGATGTATTTACTGAACTCCAGTCGCTTGCAAGGATGCATCGACGACACCTTTCTGCATAAAGATATACTCGCTCAATGCGTCAACATATTTGTAATGACAGCTGTGTTATTTTTTCTTTCCAAAAAAGAGTTTATCATTTAAATATTAATTTTTTTTTCTAGTGTATTCGCCAGAATGGGGTTCAAACTACACTTGGATTGGTGACACCCGATCTGGTCATTGACCAGGAATATTCCTTATTATAACAGAGATAATATTTTAAAAAAAAACAGAACAGCGGGGACAAATCCTTAAACATGAATGCTCCCGTTTCGTGTGGTGTCGATTTGGCGTGCAGAATAAGCTACAAAATCTTGCCTACGACCTGGTGGGCACCCAGGCCTTCGACGTGACCATCATGGCGCTCATTTGCCTTAATATGCTGGTCATGATGATCGAGACCGATAGCCAGAGCAAGGAAATGGAGAACGCCCTCCACTACATCAACATCATCTTCATCGCGATGTTCAGCGCCGAGTGCCTGCTCAAGCTCTTCGCCCTGCGACAATACTACTTCAAGTTTGCGTGGAACATTTTCGACATTGTCGTCATCGTCATGTCCTTTGTGGGTGAGGAGATGGTTGGCCTCTTTTGAGTTTTTTTTTCTCCCGTGTACGATGTATTATTTACGACAATCGGACGCTAATGTTGTGAGACGCTGCAATGCACTGCCAAGGAATAAAAAAAACCTTCAGATGGAGAAATTGATTTGGTCGGCCTTGGGTGAAGACTGAAATGTAGACCACGAGAACGGGATTGATTTGCGCAGCAGTATCTGTAAATTAAACCAGTTTATATGATATATCCTCTCCTCTTTAATTGCTCGACGTGTACCAATTAATTTGGAAGATTATAAGGTTGCACAATTGGCAACGGTTGACCTCAATGTTCGCACGCTATCGAGTGTTTTTGATAGAGCTATTTCCGTTAGTTTGTTTTTGGAACGTCATCCAGTTGTAAATTGTGATGAGCAATCGTAAAAAGGCCCCAAAAACATCTGTTGCATTCCTTCACACGTCACAACTGCACTTTACATTTAAGGCAATTGATTCGATTGTGGTTAAAACGCTCTTCTTATATGTTTTCCAACAAAGGAAATGGATTACGATTTGGTTATGCAGACTCCAATTGTCACCGTTTCGTAACACTATCTGTAATGGAGTTCTGTATCGCTGATACAAAGCCTGAGCGCAAATTTCCTGTTCACCGATCCTGGCCACCCTACCCAAACTCGCCGTCTGACGAGTGTTGTGAAATTGTCAAAATAACTCGCACTGCAAACACAAAAAGGCTATACATTATTGCTGTTATCACTTTAAAATGTCAATGCAACGGAAATGGCAGTAGACTGTCTATAGAGTTGTTTGTGTGGCTCAAAGAGCCCTTGGGTGTTTGACATCGTCTCTTTTGTGCTTTGAGGATAATCTAATCGTCCTCATAATCACCAGTCAGTGCTAATGTACCGACCGACCACCGTGCACTCCACACCAAGTGGAGACCGCGTCTTGCAATTTAGTGATCTGCCACTTACCAACGTTTACATAATGGAATCACTGTGATTTGAAGCTTTCGTGACTGCAGGAATTACTCTGTGGTTCTTTCGGTAAAGTCTCTCTGTGTGTCTCTGTGTTGTATCTCTTGGCTTGTGTGTCTGTCTTTGTGTCTCTGTGTTTTGTCTCTCTCTCAAATTTAGTTCTACCTGATGACGATTGCTTGTGTTGCAATCGAAACGTCGTATTCTATTATTTAATTTATTTTCTTTCTACGTCACATTACAACCACATGAATCACTGTGGTTTTAATGTGCCCTGCTCATCGACTCTTTGAAAGTAGTTAACATTTTCCTCGTCTCATTTTGCATTCTGAGCAATGTGATGATGTAAATTAAGTTTGAGGTGCCATTCATTTGTTGGGGGAGGGCAGGAAGGGAGTGGGAATCCTGAATTGGTCGTGCTTTGGCACAAGATCAAAACAACAAGTCCTACATTGTGATTCAGTTGGAATAAACTGTTCAACGTCTTGGATGATAATACTATTAAATGTCATTCAAATATTTTACCCTGCGTCATGTATAAATTGCGCCAATGAAGCAACATTTCACTTCAACACGGAGTACAAATTCTGGCAACAGCACAGCACCTGAATGAGAATCTGGAAGTTTGTACTCTTTAATTTTGGTTGAAAATCTGCTTAGACCATCAACTCACCCCCAAGGTAAACAACACAAATTGGGGTTAAATTGTTGAACTTCCTGTTTTTTTAAAGTGTACACCAATTAAACTTTTAATCTGGAGGTTTTGAAGGGCACTGAATAGAAGCATGACACGTTTAATAACTCACTTTTCCAGCACCCTTTTTTTGGACCGGTTTCACACCGAAGCTGATAGAAAGCGAGTGAATGCCTCCCGACCAGCCATCTCGTATACACAGCTGCGATGTGTTTTTTTGTGTTGGGGGTCACCCTTTCAGGAATGGGCTTGCTGAGACCATGAAGAATTTTTTCTTTGAGCCCACGCTCATCCGCGTGGTTCGGCTCGCCCGGATCGGGCGCGTACTCCGTCTGGTCCGCGGCGCACAGGGGATCCGCACCCTCCTGCTGGCGCTGCTCATGTCGCTGCCGGCGCTCTTCAACATCGGCCTGCTCCTCTTCCTCGTCATGTACATCTTCTCCATCTTCGGCATGTCCAACTTCGGATACCTGCAGCACAAGGCCGGCATCAACGACATGTTCAACTTCGAGACGTTCGGCGGGGCCATGCTTTGCCTCTTCCAGATCACGACGTCGGCCGGCTGGGACGGGCTGCTGGCGCCGACGTTCCCGCTCAACTGCGACCGCTCCTTCAAGCACCCGGGCACGTCGGTCGAGAGCAACTGTGGCAACACCTCTTTCGGCGTGGCGTTCTACGTCAGCTACATCATCATCTCCTTCCTCATCGTCGTCAACATGTACATCGCCGTCATCCTCGAGAACTTCGCTATCGCCACGCAGGAGAGCGCCGAGCCCCTGAGCGAGGACGACTTCGAGGCCTTCTACGAGGTGTGGGGCAAGTTCGACCCCACGGTGACGCAGTTCATAGCCTACAAAAATCTCTCCGTCTTTTTGGACTCTCTGGACGACCCGCTGCGCGTGCCCAAGCCCAACCATCTGGCGATTGCCGCCCTCGACCTGCCCATCGTGGCCGGTGATCGCATCCACTGCCTGGAGGTTCTATTCGCGCTCACTAAGCGCGTGCTGGGGGAGGGCGAAGGCATGGACGCGATGCGCCTGCAGATGGAGGAGCGCTTCATGGACAGCGGCTCCGCCGGCAACGGCACGCTCGCACCCATCTCGAGCACACTCCGGCGCTGGCAGGAGGAGCTGGCGGCCATCAAGATCCAGCGCGCGTTCAGGAAGCGGCTCACCAACAGAAGTACCTCGCCCACACTGCAGAGAGGTTCCAGCTGGGCCAGGGCCGGGGGTTCCGACGGGATGATGGTGCCCGCCGCCGCTGCCGCCACCGCCGGCGCCACCGCCGTCGCCCCAATCATCAACGCCCCGCAAGATTACGTCGGCAATACGGGCAACGAGAAGGTGAAGATTATCGTTACATTGCCTTCTTTCTCGTCAGGAGATAACATCGTCGTTAGTGCGGATGTGAATTGTGCTGACCATGATGGGAAACTTTCGTGAAGGGATTTTTTTTTTTTGCGCCACTCGTTGAGGCTGGGTCTCCTTGTTCCGTGAGTGGGACCTCAGAAAAGGGCTTTAAAGGTTGTACGTACATATTAACTGGGAATACAGCAGACGAGAAGCAGATCGACCACATTATTACAAAGCTCAATATAAACATTAGCGGCATTGCAGAGAAAATAACAAAGTAAATATCGTTCCATTGCGAGAAACGTTTTAAAATTATTAAAATATTACCAGAGACTTTTTTTTTTACGTGTATGAAACCTTTCCTGAAATCCTTCACCTCTAAAAGCGTCTAACTTAAATTCATATTCTGTTTGGTAATGCCCAACTAATAGACATTTGCCAAATAATACATTAACCACGTGAAATATTTATTTGAAGCGCTTGTGTATCCATTTCCATAATTCAGATAAAAGCACAGCCATGAGCATGGCATGTCAAGACAAATTGCATACTTCCAGTAAATATGCATGGTATATATATATGCAAAGGGCATATTTTTCAAAGGTGTGTTATGCATGTTATTTGTATATAAGCTATAAACAGTATACAATAAATAACACACAAAAAAGATTCCTTCGGTAATTTTCTAAGTTCCTAAACATAATATACAGCGCCATAAAGCGGATAAAACATATATTATAATTAATATTTATGAAACAGTCTGAAACCCCCTTCCCAGACTCTGTTGCTGTTGCTTTAAGTGATATGATAATTTTTTTTTTTGCATCAAAGTGAATGGAACTCATAAAGGAGCAACGCGACTGTTGTTGCATGGCCAAGCCTTTTGCAGCGCAGATGCCGAACATTCTTTAGCGTATAAAGAAGAGCAGCAAGCAGCCAGATATTTATTGTGCTGAATGATAGAACGGCTCTCGCACTGTAATTCACCAGAAGAGCTCTACGTTGGCTTCACGAGCGAAGATGTTCATCACGAGGCCGAATGGGTTCACGTCCTATGGCTGAATGGGGGTGGTGAGAGACAAGACCGTAACTTTACACGTTTTGATGTTGTTATCCATCCGTCGGTCGCGTCAGTGTGGCTCGGCATTGTCTAACGGAGTTCCACGACACAATGACTGTTGGGATATTTTTTCTTTCTATAGGAATATATAAAGGTCTCCTTTTTTTACAAAAAATATATATCTGAATGTCCTTAAATAATTATTTGGATTCTGGGATTTTTTTTTCCTCGGATCTGTATCTCCTCTCTTTGAGTGCCTATGTTTTTAAATGTATTCCACATTTTACGTTCTGGAAAAAAATTGCGAGGACCGTTTTGCTGCAATCATCAAATTTGAGTGCGCACGGGAGTGGCCCCATGGGCTGATGGGGTGCCCGTTTCACAACGTCTGCATTTTCTGTTGTTGCTTGCCAAAGTCAAAACCAAAGAGCCAGGCTATTGAGCCTTAGCGCAACTGCCAACATTGCTGCATTCCATCAGGGGGTGGTTATCTTCATAGTTTTGTACTTTGGATCGCTGCTTCACAAACCTGAGCAAATGTTTTTTTTGGGTTTTTTTTTCTTGCAACCAAACAATACGGCACTGTCTAGAGGCGAGTTCATGGTTATTGACCCAGGTGAGAGCTCAAAGAGACCAGGAAGAGCGTCATTCGCAAGTAACATATACAGGGAATTAAATCAATTATATTGTTGTTTCACATCTCGAGCCAATTGTGTTTTTTTAACGAATAGTTTTAAGCTTTTTAGCTATCTACTTGTTTTTGTATGTCTCTTTTGCTTGTTACCTTAACCAGGGCATTGAAAGCAAACACAATACTACACAATTAAGCCACCCTACACGGCTTAATTGTTGACAAAAGACAAATAGTTCACTACTTTAGCCCACCGGTGTGCTGAAGAGTGAATCCACAACATTTAAAATGTTTGAGTACGACGTTTCGCTGGTAATTACATCCAGCATCATCGGGCAATTTGCCAGAATGGTGAAGCCATCCACCTGCTCCCGTCTTAAATAGAACAGCAGGGTGACGTCATCATCATTTAACCCAATCAGATGCAGAGATCAGAGGCGGAGACGGGGGTTATTGTAATTATATAATAGATTAGGAATCAGTTACTTGTTATGCTTAGTAATCAGTTGTAGATTAGTAATAGTTGTAATGTGTATTATTTAATAACTGAACCGAAACACTATACCCAATCATGTGCAGAGTATATCTATTATATAATTACAATAACTCGCCCCCTTCGCCACCTCTGATTTCTGCACATGATTGGGTTTCGTGTTTGGGTTCAGTTATTAAATAATACACATTAAAACTCATTACTAATCTACAACTAATTACTAATTATAACAATTAACTGATTACTAATCTATTATATAATTACAATAACCCCCCCCCCCACCCCTCTGCCACCTCTGATTTCTGGCCGTGTCGGGTGATGGAGGGTTGCGACACATTTTATAAATAACGCGATCTTACCCAAAAACCTTTATGATGAATAAAATTGGTCGCGAAAGCCGACGTGTTAAACTCAGCCACCCTGTGTAACAGATCTTGGATCAGTGATGCAGTTATACAATGGCCTGATGGATCTTGTGGGGTATATATGAAGGTATGTATGTTGAACTTCTTTCGCATCCTAAGTAGCCAATATAGTTTCTCAAGTCTTAATACAGAGTAGATAACTCACACTGAGCGCAGTGGCTTTTCAAAAACCTGTTCTCTCCTTTGGTGACACCACTTATTTATTGATAGTGGTTAATATCGTCAAATAGCATACTTGACATAATTTGGTAATTATAAACAACCAAGTTAGTGGAAAATAATTGTTTTCTTTTCATGTAAATGCCTGTTGTTTGTTGCCTTCTCTACCTACTCGATGTAAAATGCTTCCATGTCCTGTGTGAGAAGTCTGTTACACAAGCTAAGCACCGTTGAGCCTAGTTAGTCATTGGATGGGAGGCTGCCAGCAAATAAACACATTCCTGTGGAGGGAGCTGGTAGGAACGTTGGGTTGCTCGGTCAATGGCCAGGGTCAACGGCGGCGTGGTCTATTCCGCAAATATGCCCGACTGTGAGGGCGGGCACAAGCCGGCGTGAGTAGATTAAACGTTGAGTTTTATAAGGGCACCACGGGGTGACCAGCCCCTCCCCATCCAGCCCCTCCCCACCCTCCCCTCCCCACCCAGCCCCTCCCTCCCCACCCAGCCCCTCCCTGCACGACGGACGGACACAATAATCCCCTGTGGGCTGGTGTAACCAGGAGGTTCCTACCAGTATCAGGTGTTGTAGGCTTGCGTTGCGAGGTCAACTGATGATGGAAGTACAGCATTCGGTTCTTAAATAGTTGTATCCCTTTGTACGTGTGAGTTTTTGTCTGATACTTCAGCTTCCTCCATATGCCCAAAGTTGCAATGCAGGACACAGTGTTTCTAAGATGCTTGCAGTGGTGGATAGATATCTGTGGAAGGAATGTTTCCGATCTAGATTTTTTTCGAAGCGCTAATTATTTAACGTATCTTCATGCTGACACATTTGGTGAGAAAAATCACTGATGTGATGCAACGTGTGACGTTTTTCATGACGTTTTACTTTTGGATAAATCTGAAACAAAAAAATGTTTGACCTCATTTAACAAAAAATTAAAATAAAATAATGTGCTTAAAGTGCCATTGCATAACAGCGCTTGGCATATAATTAATTGGGGTTAATGGCTGGACTCCAGCAGTTTGAGGTGGAGCTGTGTGCTCCTGGTTTCACTAGAGACACAGGCCAAGAGAGATACATAATTAATGAGTACTTATATCGTCAGCTTATTCACAGTAACCCTACAATCCACAAACACCTGGCACAGGGAATTTGCAACTACTTTCCCTGATGATCCTTCATATCTGTACATTTACGTGCAACATGTTCATAGCACTGAATGTGTGTACATGTATTTATGGACAATAAACACAGACAAATACAAAGATCCTCCGTATAGCCTTAACAGACTGTTGGGGCAAGTGTTGTCAGCAAGCATCTATGAAGACCGGCACGGTACACGAAGGGGTCGGTGGCCAGCATCATGCCCGACCACCTTTGTCTCCCCAGTGGCGATGTTTACACACCGCACCAGGTACTCATTCGCGGTCGAGTCGACCTAGGGGAGGCCCAGTACCAGTTCAGATATTCATCACTGGTTTTGGCCGTGAGTGGGTTACGAACCTGGGTCGCGGGGGTTCATTGCGCAGCGCGCGAACCGCTACACTCCCACTCCACACTGTGTAACGCATGCAGCAGCAGGGTGGTGCAGTGGCTACACTGACATCTCGTAGCAAAAAGTGCCTGGATTCAATCCCTGACTCGGATCCCTTTTTGTGTCGAGTTTGTATGTTCTTCCCCTGTTCTGTATGGGTTTCCTCCAGGTTCTCTGGTTTCCTCCCATAGCTAAATAAAAATCACACAATGCAACTTTTTTTTATTGCAAATTACTCATTTGGCATGACCGCAACATCACCCACCTATCTTCTTGGTTCTTTCGGTAAAGTCACGTAGAATGGAAATAATAAAATAATAAAATAAAACATAATAAAATAATTCTCACGACGTTTCGGCCACAACGCAAGCAGCCGTCCTCAGGTGAAGAACAGGTCTGTCGAGAAACAGAGTCTGAATGACTCTGTCTTCTCGACAGACCTGTTCTTTGAATGACTCTGTCTTCTCGACAGACCTGTTCTTCACCTGAGGACGGCTGCTTGCGTTGTGGCCGAAACGTCGTGAGAATTATTTTATTATGTTTTATTTTATTATTTTATTATTTCCATTCTACGTGACTTTACGAAAGAACCAAAAAGATGAATCCCTGCAGTCACGAAAGCTTTAAATCGAAAAATCACCCCCCTACTGCATACACTTGGCAGGAGCCTCCTACTAAACGGTCTTGAGACTCAATGAGGCTTTCCTTCGTAAACAAGTTAATTGTTTTATCTCGTCGGGTGTAGGGATTTATCTCCCACCTGCTCCCCGCAGGCAGTTCGATGA